AAGCTCCTCCGCCAGCTCTCTCAGTACTCTGTTTTGAGACTCTATTTTATTTTAAAACAAACTCCATTTGTTTTAAATGCATGATTCTGGGAGGCACATTAGAAAATTAAGTTGGCAACATAAATGAGAAGGAGCTGCTCCCGCTTCTTCATCACTGGGAGTAACCTCATTGAGGCGCGTGAGCGGGAGCTGCCGGGGGAGCCTGAACTGCCTCTGCCAAAGTGGAATTTGGTGTGAGGGAATAGTCTTTCACTCACTGATGTTGCTGTTCAGGAAATTTGCACCAAGTTCAATTGTGATTTAGTATATTTATTTTTTTACTAACCGAAGGAGAGGAAGAAATACATGCAGTTGTTCACTCTCAACAGGTTTCAAGGTATTCCCAGCAAAAAAAGTGTTCACATGCATTTTCCCTTTTGTTTTTTTTTTTTTACTACAGGAAATGGAATAACAAGAATAGAAAGAGAAATGGAAAGGGCGAAACAGAGGATAAGAGGAAGCTTCTTGGTTGCTTCCTCCTTCTGCCTTTTCCTCCCTGTTCTTAGGCACCTTCTCTGGTCTAGACAAAACATGAAAACTTAAAGGAAGAGGTTTAAGCTGATCGGATTTTACTGTGGTGCAATTACACATTCATTAACACAAGGGAGCTTGCCTGCCTGGGTATTGAAAGAGAAGGTCTGGGGGGGATGCGTGCAATGAAGTGCATGGGAGGGAGCTGTCAGCGTAGGAAATGGCTGTCGCAAGGAGACTTGGGGCTCTAATATATCAAGATAATGTCATAGCAGCAAGGAGACCTAATTAGTGCAAGTAAATAACTTGCAATACTTTCTGTCAGGAGCATCTGATTTCGAGAAAAATCTTGCCCGTCAGAAAGCTTTGAGGTCAGTTCTCTCCCTTTGCTGTTGATAGCTCTGCAGTCCTATTTTCCCGGCACAGGACCAGTACTTTCCACAGCTTATATTTGGGGTGGAAGAATGGTGTCCCAGGTCAGCCAGGGTTATGCTGGTTTGTTTTGCCAGCAGTCTGTCCCAGCATGGGTGTTTGCGGAGAGAAGAGCGGGCAGTAAGCTGTCTGCACGGCCGGGGGACGCACCCAGAGGAGCAGGGTGCCCTCCTCCTCTCCCCGCCGCAGGCAGGGCAGAGCTGCGGGCAGAGCTTGTTTCAAGCCACTCTAAAGGGCTGGTGGCCCTAGAAATCGGGTACCCTCAGCTGGGGAGTCTTCAACTATCATTGCTTGAGCAGGCACCCGGTGCCCCAAAGAAGCACCAGACCGAAGCATCACCCGCCGCAACCCACTGTACCTGCAAGACAGCGCGTGTCAATGAGAGCAGCTGGGGGCTGTTTAAAGCACATGGTTTTAAAACTGGTGCCTGTTTGGTCGGGGCGCAGCTGGGCATGCTCTGGAGGCTGCCTGGAGCATGGCACAAACACGAAATGTGCTGCCAGAGGTGAGGCACTTGTGTACGCTCATTCGCTGTGCCTCCAGCAGGTTCTCTCAGTAAAACTTGTTTCCTAAGGGATTTTCTTACTCATGAATGTTGAAATAAACCCCTTTTCTCAGCTTGTAGCTAGCGTGTGTGCTGGTCAGAAAGGAACAAGCTGTCAGTGATTGCGAACTGCCTCGTTTGACTTGCCACGAGAAAACATCCAGAAGCTGGATTTTGTACTTAGAAGCTGTCGTCAGCTGCCACTTTGGCTTCATGTTTGCAGCACTTGGTGCCCTTTGTGGAGGCCTGTTGGGAGAGAGAGGGGGGCTGAAGGGGAGAGAGGAGAGGGCTCCTGCCCGGTGGAAGAGGGCAAGGAGTGCCCTGCAAAGCGGTGTGGCCCTTCCCGCGCTGTCCCTGCAGGCACTGTCTAGCTCCCCGCTCCTCTCTGGTGGCTGTGAGTCGTGCTGAGGGTGCCTGGCTGGTGCCACGTTGGTCCTTGTCCCCCTGGGCTCTGCTGATGGAGCTGCCCAGAGGCATTTTGCAGCGGCAGCCTCAGGCTGCCTGGTCCTCCTCTCTGGGGCATGTCTGTCCATCTCACGTCGTGGCCAGGGGGCTGCCCATGGCCATGAGGCAGGGGATGGTGACCCTGACTAGCCAGGCTCTCTTTTAACCCCTTTTTTGATTTGTGGTGTAACTGGCACTGACTCCTAAGTAATAATCAGTTATGCCTCTTCCTTGGTTTCCTTTTCCCAGCTCTGGCCGAGCTGATGAGCTTGATGTCCAGCCCCTGAGGCTGGCTCCTCCAACCAGGCTGCAACCTAAGCCCTGCCAGTAGCAGCAGTCGCTGGAAACGTTTCTCTGGGACTGTAGCTGTACGGGGAAGGTGGCCAGTGGCCAGTAGGGAACAGGAGCTGGCAGCATCCCTGGGGGGGAGCAGGGATGGAGGCTGGCACCAGACTGCCAAGGTGGGGACCTGCAGGTGGGTGAGCAGACGTGTCCCTCTGGCAGGTCTCTGCCATGGTCAGAGAGGGAGGTGTCTGGCCAGCTCTGCCCCATGCAGGGCAGCAAGGCGAGGGCTGGCACCGGAGACTTCTTTGACAAACTGATGAAAAACCTACTGGCAATGCAAGACTGTTGCCAGGGGAGTTCTTTGAAACAGAGCGCCAGGTTAACCGGTGGTTTGTCATCGGCAAAGCAAAATGAGGTGGTGGTGGTGGTTTTAGAAAGCAGTTGCCGAGTGGTTAGGAAGAGATCCCAACCTGTGTTGCTGCCCGCCTCGCCCACGTAACCACTCGCTTAATTGGGAATATAATGAAAACAAGTGTATTTGATCTCTTAATATGAGAGAATAGCTTCAGCTCTGAAAGCCAGGTAGGGATCAACAAACAGATGTTTTTCTTTGTGTGACTGAAGTTCCTGCCCCCTCATCAACCTTAAAAGAGAGCTTTATTTATACACTGCTACTATACTTGTACTGTAGGTAAAACATTTCCCATACTCGGTTGCTGTTTGCAACAATTTAGTTCTTTTCAGAATAAGTTGCTTAGTGTTTAGCCTGACCATTAAACTGATTTTGAAAGTTTTTCCTCTAGAACATGCAATAGATACCATAGTCCTTCAAGATCATTCTCCCAGAATTGAAGAATCCTTTCTGCAGGGCAGTGCTTCTTTTGGGGCATATTTATATCCCTTTTGGGACTGAACGTAGGGTAGTGTAGTACATTGTTTGGGGGTTTATGTTTTGTTATGACTGAAATGATTTTGTCAAGAAAATCTACTCACAAAGAGCATTGGTCCAGGGAAGAAACATGTTGAGAGGGGAGGGATTTCATCTACCTGGAGTAGTGAGTTTTCTTTCTGGTGTTTCCTAGGTGTAGAGAGCAACACTGACAGACCTCTCTCTGGTTCTCTTCCTTTTTTGTGAAGGATTTCACTATGACTCTGTACTTAAGGCATTACTGGAAGGATGAGCGTCTCTCGTTTCCCAGCACCACCAATAAGAGCATGACCTTTGACGGCAGGCTGGTGAAGAAGATCTGGGTCCCTGATGTCTTCTTTGTGCACTCCAAAAGGTCCTTCATTCATGACACCACCACGGACAACATCATGCTGCGAGTGTTCCCTGACGGTCATGTCCTCTACAGCATAAGGTAATGGTGCAGCCCCGCTGCTCCTGAGCATCCCTCAGGGCTTCACCGTTAATTTTGCTCCTGGCCTGGCTTTGGTGACCCCCAGGACTGCTACTGCCAACCTTCCTACACCCACCACAAATGCAGACCCCTGTTTCCAGCATGTCCAGTACAAGGTGCTTCGCAGGAAGCTGCGAGAAACCATGCTGTGGGCAGTAATGGGATAATCTCCTCCCGGGAGAAGCATTCTCCTAACTCACTACAGTCAGAGGAAGGCTTAGTTGAGCAGGAAAAAACTGGAAGCTGCTGATATACCAGATGGTGACCTCTACAATTATCCTATTTTGCTTTCTGTTTGTCTAGAAAAACTTTTTTTTTTCGTTGGCATTTGCATGTTGATGTAAAGGTTTAAATTTATTGAAGCGGAAATGGCAGCATTAAAGATGCCCTGTAGTCCCTGATTTTCTAGCAGGTTTTTTGGCTGTAAGAATTCTGAGGCATGTCTGTCATGACCTAAAGGGTTACCCAGCCTGTGGGTGTACACAGATCGTGACTGTGGGTTTGTAGGATTCTGTAATACACAAGGACACGGGGGCTTTGTCCTCTAAATTTCTCTACCTTATTACAGATTACCAAAAATACCACAAAAATCACCACTAGCAAGTAAAGTACCACAAAATTACCACTAGCAAGAATACCTATGATTAATACAGCAAACATATATCTCAAGCTATTACACATTACTATCAGCAATCAATAACACAGTATCAATCAGTAGTACGGCAGCAGTCAGTAATAGCAGCAATCATTCATATAGCAACAGTCAATCATGTAGCAATAGCCAATACCAGCATCAACCAAATACTTATATACTGTTACAGGTTACTACAAACTTACCATTAGTGAAGCAATTAATCAGCAATGGAACAGCAGATATACTTATGATAGATTACTTATATCGATAGGCAATACCAATATCAAGTTAATTAGACAGATTACAGCAGGGACTAAACCATCTCAAAGAGGGAGGAGGACATACTGATCCCAGAGGGGGACCCAACTATCCCATGGGTGGGAAGATGAACCAAACTGACCCCAAAAATGGACCAATGAGCCAACAGAGTCTCACTTCAGAGATGCTCCCCATCATGGAGTCTGGTGTCAGCTAGGCACCCCCAGTGAGGGTGCTAAGAAAGTTCATGCAGCAAATTCAGCCTTTTTAGGAAAGGAAAAGTATGTACAGCACTGGAAGTTCCCAGAGAGAGAGGCTTCATTTCGGGTAAAAATTAAGTAATTTCTATATCAGAGAGACATAAGATATCACAGGACACAACCCTTTTGAGCAGCCGATAGGTGCTGTTATTTTTTATTTTTCACCTGGGAAAGCCAAGAGACGATAATATTTTCTGTTCTTTCGGGCCATTTTTTATTTTCCAGACTGTTTTCCACCTTTTCAGATGACAAGTTGCCGTTACAGTCCCTTGTTTTTGTGCTTATGGATGGTATCTCGGGTTGTCTCAGATTTCTAGGTACCCAGGCTGCACTTCTCAAGGTTGCTGCTGCTTCCCAGGCTGGCAGGCCTTTCTCTATCAGTATTTTTCAGCAGACATTTTCTTTTGCTCAGTAATTTTCCCCTTCTAACAGGCCACTTTTATGGCTGCTCACATCAGCATCCAAGCAGATTTCATTTACTTCAGAAGAGGGCAAGGAGAGATGTAGAGAAAAATACACCACCAGAGGAGAAAAAAGCTCTGGAGTCCAGACAAAAGGACATTTCTGCAGGACAGAAAATGCGCTCTCGGTGTACAGTGACCTTTGAATGCTTTGTTGCCAAGGATTTCTGTTCTAGGATCTTTCTGGAACTTATTCACTTCAGCTATGGTAAAATAAGTTTCAAAAATGAGGAAAGGTCTTCCAATAAAGTTTGATTCAGGACGCTATTTCTTTTTGAAGAATGAGCATAGTAGGCAATATCGTCCGAAGTAGGACAATATCCTACCAAACGTAGGGACTCTTAAGTTCACTGGTTTCATAGTCCAAATGTCATTCTACTGAATTTATTTTTAAAAACCTGGACAAATTATTAAAACCACAAAGAAATGCATGTGTGTAAATAAGAAAAAAGGTATGTACCATATAGCCACTTTCATTTTAACCAAACATTTAGGCACAGTTACCATGTTCTGAACTCATTTAATAAATGCATTAATTGCATGAAAGGTCTGATTACTCACACCTTAACTAAGCATCTAAAGACGCTGTCTATTTTATTAGAACTGGGTAAGGATGAAGGTGCCATGTAGCAGGAGAGACAGGAAGGAGAAATTAAAATGAAGAGGGAGGTTAGATGTAAGCTTTGGGTCAGCACTGAGCAGAGAAGAGCAGGAAGAGGGTACAGATCTTCTTGACAGATGTTGCTCGGTGTAACCAACTCTGGGTTTCCATTGCTCACATGCCACAGTTTTTGTGCACTGAAGCCCGCAGCATGCCACTTGTTAGCAGTGGTCATCAACCAAAATGAAGGAATAAGTATTTTTAATGGCAAACATTGGCTCTGTTCAGGTCTGCTCATTTGCCCATGTACAGAGTTTTTACTTTCAAAGTTTTCTGTGAGCTGTCAAGGAGTTGATGTGACTTTCTAATGTTACCCCACAAGAGAGAAGGGTGTGAGTAATCACAGCTGACTGCACAAGAGTTAAATGGATAATTTGATTCATAAAATCCAAGAAGAATACACATCTGCCTGATATTTGGGCCTGGTAGTGTTTAGGACAGTCGGAACATGATCCGGCTGCCCAAGCATAGGTGTGCAGTGGCATTGGAAATTTCCCCCAAGATATCTCAAGGTGTCATGGGGTTGGCACTGAGCTGAGGGACATTTCATTCCTCATTTGGGCCTTGGGCTTTCAAGGCCAGCTGAACACTGTGCTTTAGCTGGGGAATATCTTATTGACAAGCTGAGTTTCTGTGCTGTCCCTGACTAACAAATTGTTAATGACCACACATTGTGCCACAGTTTGGGTGACACCAAGGAAAGAAAACTACTGACTTGGTAATGAGACTGAGTTATACAATGCTTAAATGCTACACACAAGTATGGGAGGTCATTGCTACAATATACCCTCTGGAGCATATCCCCAAAAAGCTTCTTTAAGTTTTGCTCATATGGCAAAATATTGCTCTAGTTTTATAGTCCAAATTAACAGCATGTGCTTTTCAGGGGCAGTGAGTGTGTAGATCAGAGTAGGACTTGGATCACAATCCCTTTAACAGAAGAAAAGCTCTTTATCAACATCTGCAACCAATCTAGAAAATGGTCATGGCCAACATAAGTCAACCTCTGAAACGATGACTCACATCGTTTCAGATGTTTTTCTGATTTTCCTTACTAAATTGGAAGCTCCACTGCAAATCTGTCCACAAGACAAAGTTCAGTGACCCACTGGAAAACTTATTATGTAATGTTGTGGACAACTGGACTCATTTGAAAATGGGAGCTGTGATGGCTGCAGCTCTTTAGCTAAAACACAAACTTAGAGTCAAGTCTCACTTGTTGAAAAACAGCTACACCCATTTTACAGCCCCGTCCCAGAAACACACCCCCCAAATTAAAATAATTTGATCGAGGACTGAAAGAAACTGCTTTTGCCTTAATAATGTATATACTGGAGGCATTTTGTGGCTTGCAGTAAGGTTGGTCATGTCCCTGAGGCTTGGGTCATTGTTGGGATGACTGTGGAGACAACTGAGGAATGGGGAAAATGGGGAAACCTTAATCAAACTGGACGTAAGAGAACTTTCAAATGTAAATAGTGAAGTTATTTTATATTGTTGCCTTGTAGGAAAATAGTTGGATATAAAACACAGTGGAAGTATCCATACTGACATTAGTATTACCATAGTGTGCAAGATAGTACTTTAGTTCCTTGATAGATATTGAAATTACAGCTTCCTTTGGAGCATCTGCATATAATCCATCTTGCTTGGACATGGAGAATTGACTGGCATTTTCCTGGGGATTTTATGGTAACATTATGCATAACTGCTGACTTTAAAGCTCCAGAATGATTTATCTGTGTTAACATTCTCCGTTCATTGCTCCTCATAGAAACCAACCTTTCTCATTTTTGACTTCTAGGATCACAGTGACAGCAATGTGCAATATGGACTTCAGCCGCTTCCCCCTGGACTCTCAGACATGTTCTCTGGAGCTGGAAAGCTGTACGTTGTATCTGTGTTTCTAGCTAGATGTGCTCCATGGCTGGCTGCACACATTTCAGAATACAGTCTATTTTAGAGCCTGAAAAAATAATTCATCAGAGTTACTAGGAGTCTGTCTATTGACTTACTCTGTTGTATATCCAGCCCTTGTGCTGCAAAACAGGATAATTTTCAAGGAAAGCATCCTTGTATGAATTTTAGCAGATGGCACTTTCAAAAAACAGCACCAGCAGAAACGTTCAACATATACTGCTTCTCAGCAGCTTGCTGATGAGAAATTTCAAGAGAGGTTTTGGTCTGTTCATCGCTTCTGACAAGAAGGTGGTGCTTTCAAGTGTCACAGTAAAAAACTGAGTATAATGATCATTGATTTTCTCTAAATTTCATTACCAATGTAGTTTATGTATGATATAATCCTGATCCTGCAAACTCTGTGGCTGGGCTCAGCTTCTTTGGGAAGGAGCTGTTCTGTGGAGAAAGTGATGGCTGTTGTGTAAACTTTCAGCAGAGTGTGCAAAGAGTAACACCGAATTGTTTTGAGGTCCTCCCAGCTATTTAACTGAAATTTTCCTCTGCGGGCAACAGAATCACAAAATCACAGGGTAGTTTAGATTGGGAGGAGAGTTTTAGGTTGGGCTTGAGGTCAGCTGCTCCAACTCCCAGCTCAGAGCAAGGAGAGTTTTATAGTGGGTTGCTCAGGGCTGTGTCCAGTTGGGTTTTGAACATTGCCAAGGTAGTGGAGGCTCCACAACTTTTCTGTGCAACCTGTTCAAATATTTGACAGCCCTCATCCTGAAAAAGTTTCCTTTTACTTGCTTAGAAAAAATCCTGTGCTGCAGCTTGCATCCCTTACCTCTTGTCCTTTCACTCTGCATCTCAGGGAAGAATCTGAGAAAAGCCTGTCTCCACTTCTGTATGACCCCCAGCAAGGCAGCAGTTGGACCCCACCTCGTCCAGCTGAACAAACCCAGCTTCCCCAGCTTCTCATCTTATGCCATGTACTCCAACCCCCTGATAATCTTGATAACCTTTTTTTCATTCCCCATTCCTGCAACCTAGTGCACTAAATTTTTCATTTACAGTTTTCAAATATTTTCAGACTTTTGCTTCAAATCAAACCTGGCACTCTTGTTTTTATCATTCTAAGATAGTTTGAGGTGTTTGTGTTTCCTCCTTCCTCTAAATTCAGGTGTTTTACCCGTTACTTTTCTAAGTTATTCTTATCAGCTAGCAATACCTTGTTGATGATTTTTGATATGTGATGCTCAGAAAAGTACCATTTTATCTGTCATTTCATCAGTGTGGAGTAAAAAGAGGATGTGTTTCCCTTGATCAGCATGACCTGGACTTTTTGTTATTGTTGTTATGGTATATCATATGGCAAGATCTTTTTAACTCGCTGTTGTTAACACACTTATTTGAGGCAATACTTCGTGCCAAAGATGCCTTTGTGTTTGTTAATTTTGTCCCCAAGATGCTTACACTGATGAAGATCTGATGCTGTATTGGAAGAATGGGAATGAATCTCTGAAAACCGATGAAAAGATTTCTTTGTCTCAGTTTTTGATACAAAAATTCCACACTACATCGAGACTGGCTTTCTACAGTAGCACGGGTATTGGCCTTTTCTGATTTAATGCTATTGCTAAAGCTAATGCTGTATTAACTACTTGTGAGCTCTTGGGATTATATGTCACTGAAATGTAGTCTCCACAGTCTGGACAATACATTTTTTAAAAGATCAGTTTCTCTTTTCACTACCCTTTAGAAATTAAAGAGCAAAAGAAAGATCTTATCTTTCTGTGCCTACCATCCAGGCTGTTCTCACTGATTCTGGCTTTCCTCCTCTCTCAAAGGTTGGTACAATCGCCTCTACATAAACTTCACTTTACGCCGGCACATCTTCTTCTTCTTGCTCCAAACCTACTTCCCTGCCACCCTCATGGTCATGTTGTCCTGGGTATCTTTCTGGATTGATCACAGAGCAGTTCCCGCCAGAGTCTCTTTGGGTGAGAGCAACTGCAACAAGCCATGACCATGTGAAACTCTTTGAAAGTGAAAATTCTGGCAGGAAAGCGAACTGTTCTTTTTGGTGGTTAAAGATGTTGGGGAAGCAAATATCTGTTTTATCTGATGATGTAAATGTAAAACATAAACCTTGCAGTTTGTCTCAAGTCCTTCATCTTTAAGCAGTCCTCCTGGTCTATATTTAGCTTTGGACAGAAAGAGCTGTGATTTCAAAAATAAAGGTGGGCAGAGAAGAGAGGTTTCAGTATTTATGAGTCAATGAATTAAGATTTTTGCCTGTTGTCAAGTCCTGCAGTTCTGAGACGTGCATTGCCATGGGTGAGGGTAGAGTTTCACAGGAGTTAGGCACCTGCAGGGAATTAAATTTTCCTGAGTGCCTTTCATGAGCAGGATCCTGCTGTGTCCCAGCTGCCACAGCAGGTGTTCCAGCCCAGGTATGTGTCTTCCCAACCAGCTGGCACTGGTGCTGTGGCTGGTGGCCTCTCCAGGCTGCCTGGAGGGCGCTGTTGTGGCACACCTTCACAAAGCTGGGAAAGAAAGGCAGCAAGGGATTCTGCATTGGCAGGACAGGTATTATCACTTTTTTTTTTTCATATCTACTATCTCTTAGGGCATTGTGTAGACCATAATTCCTGTTTTTCTTGAGACAAAAGCCTTATGGACTGTATCAGCCAAAACCGCTTATTTCTTTTGGTTCTTTCCAGGGATAACCACCGTGCTGACCATGTCCACGATCATCACTGGAGTGAACGCCTCCATGCCCCGGGTTTCCTACATCAAAGCAGTGGACATTTACCTGTGGGTCAGTTTTGTGTTCGTCTTCCTCTCGGTGCTGGAATACGCGGCAGTGAATTACCTGACTACGGTGCAAGAGCGGAAGGAGAGGAAACTCCGGGAGAAGGTGAGAAAAGCTTTTGTTTTGTTCATCCATTTATTTCTTCTTTTCTTATACCTGATCTGGTCTTTCTATTGACTGGCTTGTGTCTATAAATGGGAAAACACTGACATCCATGTGTGTATAATTGGATCTGTTTAGACCACTCCACCTCATGTTGAATTGCTGACACCAGAAAAACAAGAATTGGTCTTGTGGGTCTTTGTAAAAACATCAGAGAAGAGGCGAGTGTGATCTGAACTGGGGAAGTCTGCAACCTGGGACTGTGTGGGGATGGCAAGAGGGGAGACTATCAAATCTGATACTTTACTGCAGGTGCCACAATTGCTATTTTTTAAATCTAGACTTGTTATTTGGGTTGAATTCATTTCCTCCTTCTACAGTCAGCTTTACTCTGGAAACTGGTTTAAATGGATGTACTAGTAGAGTTGTTCCCCGTTACCAAAACCAAGCAACAGTCATGTAAGTTTATGCTTGTACTTTTTAGTGTTCTATGAAAGGTCTTATCCTGCATCCTTGGAGGTTTTACAGACCTGACAGATTCATCCCTGAGGAGTTTGGCCCTGCTGTGAGCAGGAGGTAGGACTAGAGACCTCCTGGGGTCCCTTCCAGCCTGAATTATCCTACAAACCTGTGATGCTGCCTTCTTTGTCATTTAACAAAACACCCTCACCCTTTAAACACTAAGGCTTGGCACCAATTTTTTTCAGTCCCCAGACACCCAGAACATCATCATATTTTACAGCTTCTTTCTTCCCATTAGGAACTCCCAACATTAGTTCACAGGTAACATTGGTCACCTATTGCCTTTGACTCCTGGAGAAATTTTTATCAGCCTTTCAGAAATGCCAATGCAGACATCATCATTCATATGATTTGACCATGGACATTTCTCTCGCTGAACTACTCTGTTGGCTTTGCATGTCCTTCTCTTCCCCTTGCACTTCTTCCTATGACTTCCTGGAAGTAGAGAATAGACCACCTATCAGCCCAGTACATCTCATAAAAAATTTAGTTAGATAAAATTTAAAAAGTGATCCACAGACTCCTGTGACACTTTACCTCTCTCCAAGGCCTCCTTAACAATAGTGTGATTCTGGAAAGCTAATTGAACAAGTCCTGAGTATTAAGCTGAGCTAGTTGAAGATGTCGCTGCTCATTGCAGGGGGGTTGGACTAGATGACCTTTAAAGATCCCTTCCAACCCAAAGTATTCTGTGTTTCTATGATTCTATGATCTTGATTTATCTATTTCTCTATCCTAGTCCCCACCCAGGGCCCAGCAGTTCTCTGCAACGCAAAGTAGAGTGTTTTGCAAGCACAGTGAGTCAAGTGTGTCTTACTTGCTGTGTGTGAGTGGTGGTCTGTGGCCTTTTAGCCAGCCCTGCTCAGACTTCCCATGTCCAAAGAAGAGTTTGTATAAACCCAGTGCATCTTGACAGTACTCAGGAAATAACAAAAGTCATCATTGCTAGGTTCAGCTTGCCAAGAATAAACCTGTTGTTTTTTTAATGGCAAGAAAACTCTCCTTCTGTATCAGAGGGAAAAAAATGAACTTGAGAGGGTTTGTTACTGTTCTGTTAAGTTTTCAGGAAAGTTTTCCGACATCCAGTGATGGCATAGCTTGTTATTTATGTCACAAATCTGCCCTTTATTGAGTCTTGTGCATTGGATTCTATATTCAGCAAATGCCTTTTTACTACACAAAGTAAAATATTCTATCTAGTCTTCAGCATGTGACAATATTAATTCTCAATGGTGGTAATGAGAACAGAGATAATAAGTGACATTACTTGAGGGGATTGCAGCAAAATGTAGGTAAGTGCTCTTGAAAACGCAGAAGAGACATTTCTCACTGTAAACGTAGATCTTGTCAGCCAATGTTGCTCCCCTATGAAAGATCCAAAGAATCTGAATACAAATATATCAGGGTGCCCAGAAAAGAGCCCTATGTTAAGTCTACGTTAAGAAATTAAATGTGCCTGGGACCAAGGCTGATGAACACAGAGTATCTAAAACTAAACCTTCTTTCCCTCAAAATCAGCATGGTTGCTGTGAATCGCCTGTGGCAAATGGTCTGTGGCCCATGCTAATTCCTGAACTGTACATGGGAACTTTTTGGTGCTTGTTGGCCTGGACAAAATTCAGGCCAGCGACATTTCTGACACTCTAATAGTATTATCATCTGAGTTCCCATGCCCAGGGATGCTCTTTGGCAGTGTTTATTTTAGTAGTATAGACATAGACTAAAATTGCTGCAGCATGAAATTATGTAGCATACTTGTCCACGTATGAGCCTATGTGAAGATGGGTGTAATTTAAGACTCTGTAGAGGTGGGTTTCTAGTATGTTAGGCTCCCTTGTCCATAGGGGTGGCTGTCATCACATGTATATGAAGCCAAGGGAACTGTAATTTGACCTGGGGACTAAGAGTAAATCTGCAGGATTTCTTTCTCTGTTGGGTCCTGCAGCAATTAGCTTATTGCCATTAATTGCTTTCTCTTCCACCCACCCACCATCTCACAGATCTGTCACCAGCTTATGGTACAGAGCCTGATGTAATTCTTCCTTCTGTTTTTTGGGTTTGGGTTTTTTTTTTGAGGTACACCTGCTTAGTATAAAATATGTCTTAAAACCCAGCTGATGTTCAGCTGTACCCATGGAGAGTGCTCCAAAAAATTCCTTCAGTGATGGGTCTAACAAGTAGAGCAAATGGGCTACAAACTTGTCATGTTTTTCTGCACACTATCTGCTGATGCCAAATCATTTGATTATGACTAGAACACAGAAAACAACTCCTAAGTTGATTTTCAGGTTTTCAGTAAGCAATGTGATCTGTAGTTAAATAATTTGAAGAAAAAGCCTTGAGAGCAGAGTTCTCTAGTGGCATCCTTAATATTACATATTCAGGTATATGTACTTTTTTTTATATATATATAAATATAGATAGGATATATATTTTTTTGTGTATACATCCTTCATTATTTTAGTTGAACTTATCCTTGAAAACAAGTCGTTGGTGTTATTGGGTAACGAAAGCAGTCTGTTGGGAATCGGAGGCAGGAACTCCTAGAAGAAAGGAGGTTTTGGAGTCCATTTTAATTACATACAAATATATAATCCATATTGCTGAGACAGAAAACCTGCAGGTTTTAAACATGAGAAGACAGTATTTGCTATTCAAACTTCTACTGTATTAAAATTTTTTTAGACTTGTGGAATGCATGCTTGTGCTGATGAAGTCAATGTGAGTTTTGACATCAACTTCAACAGAGCTAGGATTTTACATCTGGTTTTTAACTGGTCCTTTCCTTGGTTTAAAATCAGTTTTACAAAGAAAACCTGTGTATCTTTGAAACCAGAACTTGGCCCTTTTTCCCATAGCATGTACTGGATAAGCCATTTCCACGGATAAAACTGCCTCTTGCCTTTGAATATTTATGAACAAAAAGAATGCAGAAAAGGAATCTGAAGACAGCAAGGCTGAACAGAGCTAGCTAAGAAAACCTTCTGGTTAGTTTTTATGTCTGCTAAAGCACTTTTCTAATCTTTCCTGAAGCTGCTTGTCCCAGCAGTGTAGCTAAACCACATCTCTTCCTTTTGGAACACAAGCAAAAAAAAAGTGACTTTTTTGTTCAAAGAGGAATTTGCAGTATCTCAACTAAAATTTGAAGCTCAACAGTTTACAAGCTGTCTCTTAATAGAAGGACATAATTTCTGCTGCTAATGTGTTCTTCCAGTATTCAGCTATATTTCTTGTTTATGTTCTTAGTTTCCATGTACATGTGGAGTACCGCATTCGAAAACTATGATGCTTGATGGAAACTGCAGTGAATCTGATGCCAACAGCCTGGCAGGATATACAAGAAGCCAGATGGTCATAGAGGAAGAAAAACAAGAAAAGATGGTTGTGCACTTAGCTATGAGCAATGAATCCAATTCATCAAGGAAAAGAGGCCTGAAGGGCCATGTGGGCTTTCGCATCATCCAGAACACTCATGCAATTGATAAATACTCAAGATTAATATTTCCAGGCACCTATATATTTTTTAATTTGATATATTGGTCTGTCTTTAGCTAAGTGTGCTGGCACAGCAATGACTGAAGCAGAAGACCTTTACAAAACTCTGTTTTTTGGTTCTTTTTCAGTCCAATCTGTGTGCAAAGCCAGAAAACTGATTATTTTATTGCTTCTTTGGAGGGTAAAGGGGAGGGCACATCCTCCAGTGGGCAGCTCCATGCACCGGCATCATGGAGGAACCTGCTGTGCTGGTTGCTTTCCAACCGACACCCCAGTTCCTGTTTGCTTTATGACACATGCCATTTCTCATACTTGAAAATATGTGCTCACCATTCACCCAAAAGGTGCTCTATGTTCATCTGGGGCTGGCAACGCTGACGGTGCCTGCTGTGCAATGGACAACCAGAGATGGTGCTCACATGGGCTGTCCTGAGGGATTAAACAAATGCAACTTGCAAAGAGGGGTCTGGACAGTGCATCTCCTGTAAGCAAACTGAATGAGGCCTTTCCTTTTGAAAATATCTGGTTTTGAGCAAATTCTTTTATTTTTCTTTGGCATATGAACATAATGTTTCTTTCCATTGGTTTATGAACAAGATCTCCTTTTAGGGTCCAAATTCTGGTCTCTCTGGATAGGACCTTCATTGATACCAGTAGGACAATTGACTGGGTAGGATCAATGGGCTAGGTTACAGAGTGCAGGTGGTAGATTTGAGTCGGTGGTCATTTTTTTCCAGATTTGAAGTGGAGAGTGATGCTGAAGCAGAGCAAAGAAGCCCACAAACTGACAGCAGATGGCCCTCGGGGTACATGAGTAATGAAAACAGGGAGGTTTAGGCATGTGTTCTTCATATAACTTGAGCACAGCATGTGATACATAGCACCTGCCCGCTAAAATGAGAGGGGAAGATGGTGTGTAGCAAGTATAGTCAGCACACAGTGAATGGGCAACATCTCCGGGACCATCACTTTCTCTCTCTAGGAGCAGAAAACAGTGTTGAGGGCAGCACTGGTGGCTTTCAAAGATTTTCCTCACCCTTGTGAGGAAAGTGGAGCCCACAGAGAAACTACATATCCCAATGTGCCTCTCCCAACCAACATATTGTCCTCCTGTTCAGGCATTATGGATCAAGAGGGAGAGATGCCTGCCAGATCCTCTCTCTGCAGAAACATAGGCATGTCAGAGATTAAATGGCCAAGAATAATAATACTGCAGGATTCAGTGAGACCCCTCCTGGCCTCTGGCTCCAAGGTTGGTATAAGTCAGTCCCTTGAAGCTGCTGGAGAGCACTGTAACAAGCTTCTGTGCTTGGCAATACGTTTTTCATCCCATGATATCTCCCTTCCTTTGTTAACAATGCTGACAGCAAAACCCAAATGTAGAAACATGATAGCACCAAGACAATGATGGCCAGGTTTGTGTGCCCTTTATTTTTAGAAAACACCATGACTTTGGGTCTGTGGAGGAGATTATGTTCATCAAAATGTTTGGTTACCAAGCTGAAACTCAGCAGAGTGGGCAGAGCCTAAAGCATGAAGATCCAGGACCGAGGTTAGAAGCTGACAATGATAAGATTAAGTTATATCTCTGACTGAGGTTGGGCCATGAAGATTCAGATAAACCACGTGAATAAAGGAAAAGCAAACATACTAATAAAACTGTAACTATTTGTTGGCGTGTGAAACTTTCTGCTTACCATAGCAGTAATTCTTATGTCTTAAATCTCAAGGGATGTAGAAGATGGCAGGAAAGCATCAACTCCAGGCTGTCAACAATACCCAGAATTTTTCTTGTGCCTCAAATATTGTTCAGTCACACTGATCATCACACTGATTTACTGGAAAGAAAATTGACAAGAGAAACTAAAATTAACAACTGTGTTCCCCTTTCATTGGCCATGTTAATAACTGACATTAACAGATTTCTGTGTGATCATACAACTAAGAAAATACAGCCCTGAAATCTCTGGTGAGAAGGGGAGCCATGGAAGGACAGTATCTGAAAGGAAGGATTGCCCTGTATCCCAGCCTGCCACTTCTCTCCTGAGCTACCAGGTCAGTGCATTTACCACACATAGCTCTTGTTGGACCTGAAACCTGGATACTTCTCACATTGACAGGTGGAGATCTCTGCAATAAAGAGGCAAGAAGTATTAAAGAAATAGCTCACTCTTATTTTGAGAGGTTGAAGCCTGGATATAACAGTGTGCATTCTTCAGCATTAGCAGTTTTGAGCGTAAAACGGGAACTGAGGCTGCGGTTGGCAGCAGGACAGCGCAGTGAAAGGGACCTTTGCTGGGGGAAGGCAGCAGAACTGCACCATGAAGTCACCAGTTGTGGGAGTGAGAAACTCGGTTCCCGTGCCCCCCGTTTTGCCAGTCTTTCTGCATTACCCACGGCACGTGCCATTTAACCTCTCAGTGCCTCGTCTCCTCCATCTGGAAAGTGGAGACCAACAACATTTACCTACCTCATGAGGTGCCAAGGGGCTTAACTTGCTTAACTAGCACGTGTGTGGGGCATGGTTATGATTTCTGAGCAGGTGACCTAGTGGGAATCCAATGGTTTTTGTCTTAGTTACCAGTGAGTTCTTCAAATGTGTCCTCTGAATCAGTCCATCTGGAAGAAAGCGGGTATCTCCCCCACCTTATAATATTAAGCCAGGTAACTCCCCCACATTACAATGATATTAAACCAGAGATAAATGTAGCCCTACTTTCTGTAGCCAGAAAGTGAACACTATAAATGAATAATGCTTCCTGGCATAGAAAAACAGGAAGTCCTAGTGCTTTACTTCTTTGCCATTTGTTTTGATTACATCTCCCTTAGAAGTTATGTGGCAGATGACAGAGACAATCCTTTAGATCCTATCATCTTTGTACTAGTGCTGCCTGTAGTTTAAATGCTAGCTAATAAACATCTTTTGGAGAGGCTACATTACTGTTATTTTATATGCATATGTAGATAACTGGTAAGAGATTGAAGTCTGTTTCTACCAGACACAATTATACAGCCTATAAAACCATTAAGGAGGGTCTTTTTCCGTTAAAGGAAAAAAATATCTCTATCTTGGGCACCACTTACACTTATTATTAATTAAAACAATAGATTAAAAGTATAGATGCAAATAAAACCAAGACATCTCTTTCAGGCAGCATATGAATTGTAGTTTTCTGCTTATTAAAAGGAGGGTGGCTAGGCATGAAGTTAGAACAAATATTTGAAGTGTGGTCTTGAGAATGTATTTCACCTTTCATCTCCCTTGGGTTACAAGAGACTTCATGAGCACTGTCTAACTTCTAGTTGCAAGATCCAACCAATGTTTTGAGAAATAGTGCCTGAAGCTTGGCTCTGAATACTGTTTGATGGAGACAGCCCAATTCTGTGAAGCACTGAGCATCTGGACAATTAACCCACCGAAGGACAGGGTTTTCAGAAGTGCACAAGGGATTTGGGCAAATGAAGCCCTTTGATGAATACGCCTGCTCTGAATAACCTGGTCCAATTGCGGAGAGAGAAAATGTTGGCCCCGTTCATTCTGCATCCGGCTCATTGTACTTTTACTTACTTCTAACCAAATCATGTCTTTGAAAGAAAGTAACTCTCTCTATATATATATGTATGTACACATATGTATAATGTATATGCAGGTAGCATATAACAAAGGAAGACACTGGGACATATACCTATGTTAAATAGTGTATATATGTGAAATTGTAATATATTGTATGTATGTCAATTACCATTTATTATGCCCAGAAAACTTACTATGTCAAATTGAAAAGTCTCTTATTGCCATCCAATGCCAAGAAATGAGGTAATGGCAAGTTATTCCATAAATAAAAATTATTTTCCTTCTGAAAAGGGAAGAGTTGAGAAGTTTGCAAGAAAGGTTGATGCTAAACTGGTTGTACAACAGGTACAACTCACTGTGCTGCTCACTGTAATCAAATTTGTTAATAAATTAACAGATGGAAAGGGTGGAAAAGAGATCATTTCATGGTGTGAACTTTAAAATGTGCTTTTAATTCTGTTTGGAGATCCATTACCTATGAGCTAATGCCCAGTGGTAAAGGATTTGAATAAACACCTCATTTCTAATTGATTTTAAATAAAAAGCATCTCAAAAGGTGGAAGAAATGTAGTGGAAGCATGCAAGTACTTTGAAGTATGCAAAACACCTTGGGAAAACTGAGCCGTTAATTACAGCTATAAACTACAGAGACCTTTTGTGAAAACTGCAGCCCACAACTGAAGAAATTTTAATAATTACTTTACATTTAAGGGCACATTTTCAAAAGTCCAAATGGCAGGTATGTTTCTCAATCTCCATTTGACTGTAAATGAGAACTTGCCATTTAATTCCTCCTTTGTGCCTTTGAAAAGATTGTCTCCACACTTACCAATGGAAGATAAAATGGCTCCGAGGTCCCGGCTGCCCAGTCTCAGCTGCTATCCCTAATGCAGACAATGGGACTAAGGGAATGGACATGGGTGAGGTTGATACCGGGACCAATGAATAATGGCTATTGTCTGTCAAATTTCCACAATGGAGAGATCACAGCAAGGTACAGTCTAGCTAAATGAGATACTGTCCTGCTGA